TACTTGGAGGGAGGGAACACCCGCAGACTTCTCAGGGTGGTTTCCCACAGACATGGTACCACTATTGCTGCTGGTGAGAGAAGAAGATCAAGAAGAAGCAGGGATCACATATTCTAGAATATCCTCCCTTGCTCAGCAGTAGAGGGGTCATCTGGCATGCTCAAGGTCCTGCATTCAATTACCAACACTGCAAAAAGTCATAAGTAGAATGCCATTGAATTATAATACACAACTTACAAGACAGGATTGAGCAGTAAAGAGGGGAGTGTTGAGACGGGGCACACATGAAGGAGGGCAAACATAGGCTGAATAAGGCAGACTGAGAGAGAAAAATCAGAATAAAAGTAAAAAAGAAAGGTCAAGCACAAAGACTTCAGTGTAAAGCACAGGACACACAGAGAACATGCCTTAGTTTACAGAAGCCTGGGCGGAAGACAGAATGGTGGTTTGAGGAAGATGGCATCAAATGGATGATTCGAAGTTGACAATAATTAGGAAGAAAAACGAAGGTGTTTGACCAAGAGCTGTTTTTATCATCTGTTTCATGTAAGCATGTGCTACATTTATGTCAGTATCTTTGAATGCATAATATTGACATGTCTTTATGTGAAAAACAACTTAAAGGATTGATGTTCTTCCTCAAGACATTTTCCTAACTTTATCCAAGCTGCACATAAAGAAATATAGCAGAAATGTTAATTTTTTTTTCAAGATGCGCTACACTGAGGTGGTGGTTATTTGGCTTCCACTGTAGGCATTAGGAAACATAAATTATTTTACATCCATGGAAAAGTATTTTCCGACAAGCATGACGTTACAGATAAAATTCCCAAACCTGGAAAATATTTGGTAGAAATGTATTGTTTTTCTCAGTTGCTGGGAAAGTAGAACTGGCTCATTAGCCAGGCTTGACGGTGATAGTTCAGACTCGGACCCTCAGGGTCACACTAAAAAGAAGATAATCTGATCCTGCCGAGCACAGTTACTTAGGAGGTGCAGGAAGAAGGTCAGTTAAGTTAGACAAATCGTGAGTTCAAGGCCAACCTGAACTACATAAGGGCCTGTCTCAAAAATAACAAGCAAATAAAAAAACCCCAAATGAATGTGTAATAATCAGTATTGTAATTCCTTTTTTTTTTTTTTAGGAATTGCCTCCCCACGTGTGGTAAACATTACCTGGTATAAATGCGGCTGAGCAGACAGTCATTCTCAACTTTGCCTGAAGTTAACGACAGCTAAGGAATTACAAGTATTAACGCTGACACCTAGATCCTACCCAATGCGGCCAGATTTTTATTTAGATGGAATGCACCCCAGTCATTAAAGTTTCAAAATCTCCTCAGGAGATTCTTACACCCAATAAACGTTGTGAAATACCAGAAACCTTAACTGAGGGCCACTGGTGGCCAGCACAGCCTTTGCCAGGAAGCACCACGGTTAGCAACCAAAATGGATTAGAATTTGGACTTCCCCAAGCCTCCTGAGCGGTGTGGAAAGACTGAGAAGCAGTCTGGAAGGAATTCTTTCGTCTTTCTCTGATGTTAGACAGAAATTGTGTGGCTAACAACAGAGGAAAAAACTGAGCCCTCATTCACTTGAGAGCAGTCTTTCTCCAGGAAAAGAAAGTGTGGAGGCACAGCTCAGATCTACCCATGTAAGGCTGGCACATAAAATGTAGGCTGCCTAATACAGAATACATGTCAGATAAACAATTTCCTTTTTTGTGTGTACGGAAATACATCTCAGATATCACACGGAATGCCTGTATTGTAAGGGCATTCGCGGTTTATGTGGGATCCTAATCTGTCTACACATTCCGTGTTTTTCTTCTTCTAAATCTGGCATCTTTTTACATGTTCCCAGGAGAGTGTCTAGGTTCCACCAGGAGGAAGTGGAAAGCATACCATACATGGCCAAGTGACTGCCCACAAACTGTCTAGACTAATTGACGGTGCTGTTTCTCAGCAGCCCAGATGGCCAAGACTGACTTCCCCAAGCCAGACTGGTGACTCATTCAGCTGGGAGATTAATAGGAACTTTACTTGCTGACTCAGGAAGACGTGAACCTTGGCAAGCTTTTCCTTCCATTTAAATCAAAATGGGGGAGAAGTCCAAAATAAATATTAAGTACAGGGAAATATGATAAAATATTTTAACATGAGAGAATAAGCAAGTTAATCGCATTTAAAAAAAAACAAAAACAAAAGCAGAATCTCACTATGTAGCCCTGGCTGCCTTGGTACTCACATTGGCCTTGAGCTCACAGAGATCTGTCTGCCTTTGCCTCCGAAGAATGCTGAGATTAAACGCATACACCTCTACGCCGGGATAATTCTTTTTGAAAAAGAAGACATTTTCGTGGTTTGTTCAACTCTTGCCACCCAGTATTTTCTTGAGAATAACTGCTGTATATGCTTTCTCAGGAGATACTTTTCAAGAATACATTTTATTGTCTTTTTGATGCTGCATACGGTCTGCAGATACGGTGGCAAATCCTTGGAATAGAAATTAAGTGTGCACAAGACAGTGGCCTTCCCTTTGTTCCTAACACAAGACAAAACTTGCAGCTGTGGATATGCTTGGTCTCGGTCCTTTTCCTGAGATGAGCATTTGATTTGAACTCGGTCCCTGACTTCAGAGGATGGCTTTGCTCTTTCTTTATTCTGTTCATCGTATTTATTTCTTTATTGATTTATTGATTTTTAGTGGTTTTGTCTGTCTTGGCTTTGGTATTTTTAGACAAGGTCTCATGTAGCTCAGGTTGTCTTCAAACTCACTAAGAGTCAAAAATTAACTTCTCTTGCCTCTACCTCTGGCTTCTGGGATTGCAGGTATGTGCCACCATACCTGGTTCATCATCATGTTTGATTAAGACCTTTTCTTTTATTCAAAATAACTCAGGAAAAGTAAAGGCAGAATTTGAAGCTAAGTGTCCATTAGCCAGTTTTGGCTGTGTGTGTGTGTTTGTGTGTGTGCGCGTGCACACACGCATGTGTGTTTGCAAAATGTTGCAGAAACGGTAAGCATAAGGCACAGGACAAAGTATTTACCAAACCAAAATGGACATAAACGTTTTATGAAAGACTTGACACTGTAGACAGAAGAAACACAGTGCATGAGTTCTGAGAGAGAGAAAGAGGTCACCCCTCTGAGTAGGAATAGGGTTCTTTTTTTTTTTTTTAAAGATTCTTTTTTTTAATATTTATTTATTTATTTATTTATTATGTATACAATATTCTTTCTGCGTGTATGCCTGAAGGCCAGAAGAGGGCACCAGACCTCATTTCAGATGGTTGTGAGCCACCATGTGATTGCTGGGAATTGAACTCAGGACCTCTGGAAGAGCAGGCAATGCTCTTAACCGCTGAGCCATCTCTCCAGCCCTGAGGAATAGGGTTCTTAAAGCAGTTAAGTGAATAAATCTAAGCGAGAAGCAGAACACTAACGCAAATCAAATTTAAAACCTGCTACAAGAAACTAAAGATAATGCTAGAAGGTAGGAAGACCTCCCATACTATGGATTGGATGGATTTATACTGGGAAAATGGCTACACTATCAATAGTAACCTATAGATTCACCTGTGGCAATCGCCACAAAAATTCCAATGTCAGGGCTCTGGAGAGATGGCTCAGCTGTTAAGGACACTCACTCCTCTCCCAGAGGGCTCAGGTTTGGTTCCCATTGGCTCCCAACGCTGAGTCCTTTGGTCACCTCGAACACCTGCAGTTACATGCACATCCCCGCACATACACAAATAATTTTAAAAATCCTTCCCCATGCCGATCTTCAAAAAAAAAATAGGAAAACAGTATTAAAATTTACATAGATGCATAAAAGACACCAGAATGCCAAAGAACAGTGAGAATAATGGGCAAAAAGAGCAACACTGGAGACCCTCAGGTTTGGCTCCAGAACAAACGATTTCATATTAGCCTTTGAGCTGAGGGCTGTGTTTTTGTGTCCACAAGGAGAAGACAGCCTCTTCAACAGTTGTTGCTGGGGAAAATGGGTGGCCATGCACAGGGAACTGAAACTGACCCCCATCTCTTACTCTGTATGATGGCCAACTCCATGAGAATCAAAGACTTCAGTGTAAGACCTGAAAATCTAAAATTGATCAGGAAAACGCAGGGGAAATATATCAAGATATCAGTATAGACTAGGACTTTCTAAATAAGAAACTAATCATTTAGATTGATGAATGTGACTTCATCTAATAAAATGTTTCTTCATAGCAAGGGGCAGCATCAAACGCAGAAATGGCCTATGGTTAGGCTTCTGATAGCTGGACTGCAATGCTTTGGCAGCTGGACCTTGGTGGTCAGCAGCCTCAGAGGGAGGAAGTGGCCAAATATGGAAATAGACCTTGGTGGCTAGCTTTAGGAATGTAATTTAACCGTTTCTAGAAAGGCAGAGAGAATGGGGGAGAAGGGCAAGGCCTGCCAGAGCGTGTTTGCCAGGCCTAGGCTGGCTAAGGTTCCTTCAGGTAGAATGCTCACATTTCAGGGTATCCTAAACTCCTTCGAGGGAACTGCCAAAACGAGAGCTCCTAGTGTCTCTCCCCAGGAACTCTGCTGTAAAATGGCCTGCCTCGGGAAACTGCCGGCTCGTGTCCAAGCAAGGTCAGCAGATGGAGAGAGACCTTAGAGCATCCTGGCAAGAGTTCCTTTAGCCTGGAGGAGGCCTGAAGAAGCCAGCCAGCCTATGATTGCACACTGCCCCTCACACAGAGACACTGGGGTTGTAGAGTTGATATATGACCATCACAACATGCAACACTCCAAGAGTAGACAACATTGTCTTTCAATTTTTTTAAATGCTGCTCTGGGCTGGCCTTGAACTAACAGAGATACACCTGCCTCTGCCTCCTAAGTGCTGGGATAAAGGGTATGTGCTACCGTGCCTGTAATACCTTCCAAAATGTTTATGTGAAAAAAAAAAATCAAGCACAAACATCGTGTTAGGGTCCTCCAGAGACATATAAGCAATAGAATGAACATGTCTTACAAAGGGGATTTATTGGTTTGGCTTCCACAACAGCTGCGGAGTCCAAAGGAGTGGATGTCTGGTCAGTTTCCATCTGGTGCTGAAGCTGGGAAGGCTTTCTGCAGAGCCACTCGACTGCAGTCCACGTAGAGAGCAGAAAGAAGCTGACTTCTGATATAAGGAAAAGTAAAAATGTATCAGCAAGGCAGCAACGAACAGATTAGATGCAGCCAGCATCAGGGCTGGAGGGGAGTTTTCATTACTAGAAACTGTCGGTTTTCCTTCCCACCTCATTATATCTGGGAAGTGCTGCTGGAAAGTGCTGCTATCTCTGGAGGAAGGTCTGTCCCCCTCGGTTGATCCTTCCTATCTCAGTTGGTAGAGTGCTTGCCTGGCCAATTCCCTCACTGAATGAAACTAGATGTACCAACACATACTTATGAGCCTAGCTTTTAGACTTGAGGCAGGAGATTAGGAAGTTCGAGGACATTCTCTGCTACAGACACACTACATAGCGAATTTGATGCGACTCTGCACTACACGAGACCTCACCTTAAAAAAAGAAAAGAAGCAACATTTAATACTCTAATGTTGTATTAGTGTTGGCTGGTCCTCCCTGGGCTACCCTGAAGCATTACCTTCTGCTGTTTTTCTCAAATGTTCTATGGAATTCTACCACCTGCAACTTTCCATATTTGGATTACTTGAAATCAATAAAAAGGGGGTCAAGCCATATCTTCAGGTTACGACAGGACATGTTCGTGGTGAATGAACAGAAAGCCAGGCGCCAGTGAGGTTGAGATCAGCGTTGGCTGAAGTACCTTTGAGATTCCTTAGGGACACTAGGAAGGAAGTTGACACTCTCAGACACACAAACAACCACACATTGTTTACTGAAGATCAAGCCAATCTCACCCTACTGCTCCAGAAGAATCCCTCACATTCTGTGACTAGGTTCCCTAGGACGAGTGAAATAACTGGTGAACCTTGCATTGCCTGACCTCAGGGCTCGGCCTTCACAGACTTGTGACTCAGCACCACATTTAGAGGTGAGCTATGCGTCTCAGCGTGGCAGAGCTGTCAAAGGCATAAAAAGTAAGAAAGAAGGTGGATGTGTTGATACCAGAGCAGTTTCTGGTCGCCTTTCTTTTTTCTATTTTTTCTTACCACCACACTATACCTTTTTTTGTGGTGACTGAATTAGTAAATGAAAACCTCCCAGTAGTAGAACTGGAAAATCAGGTGCAATTTGGTGCAGAAACAGAGAAGAAAATTGACCTTTAACCACTGACACTTGCAGCTTTGGAAAGATAAACAGAAAGGACTTCAGTCTATTTAGTCCATCAGCAGACTGATTCTCTACCCCTTGAATGAATACCGCTGGCAGCCATTCTGCTCAGCTTTGGAGCCACTGGCCACATGTGACCCTGAAACAGTTTACACTGCAATTTAATTTTCCAGCCATGCTGGTAACATGTATTCAGTACTTAGTCGTAGCTACCTGTGGGTGATGCAAGTAGGTGGAGGGCTTAAATATGAGTGTTTTCATTGCCACAAAGGTTTTTTTTTGTCTTCTATATCCCAGTCCATTTTGTATTTAGCTGCTCTTCTTCTTCTTCTTCTTCTTCTTCTTCTTCTTCTTCTTCTTCTTCTTCTTCTTCTTCTCCTCCTCCTCCTCCTCCTTCTTCTTCTTCTTCTTCTTTTTCTCCTCCTCCTGATCCTCCTCCTCCTTTTCCTCCTCCTCCTGGTCCTGGCTGCCCTGGGACTCACTTTGTAGACCAGGCTAGCCTTGATTGAACTCACAGGGATCTGCCTGGATCTATCTCCAGAGTGCTGGGATTAAAGGCATGAGCCACCACACCCAGCACTTATTTCTTTCTTTCTTTTTTTTTTTTTAATAAATCTTTATTTATTGCATATACAGTGTTCTGCTTGCATGTATACTTACAGGCCAGAAGAGGGCACTAGATCTCATTACAGATGGTTGTGAGCTACCATGTGGTTGCTGGGAATAGAACTCAGGACCTCTGGAAGAGCAGCCAGTGCTCTTAACCTCTGAGCCATCTCTCCAGCCCCCCACTTATTTCTTTTTAAAGAATGTCGTTTACTATTACATTTTGGGTCATAAAATCACTAGGCTATCCTTAAAAGTTTCTTGCATATGTTTGTCTGAGACTGGCTTAGGTATATGAAAATATGTATTCTCCTCAGAGAGTATTTCATTAAAGTTGCTGCTTACCACTTTTGTTGTCTGTTTTTCAAGACAGAGTGTCTTTGTGTAGCCCTGGCTATTCTGAAACCCACGCTGTAGACAAGGCTGGCCTTGAACTCATAGAGATCCACTTGCCTCTGCCTCCAGAGTACTGGGATTAAAGGTGCACACCACCACCATCCAGCTATATATTTTATTTACCAAATAAATTTAATAAAAGAGAAAACATTTTTAATCTATTTTTATTTTATTCATCTGGAAACAGAAGAGCTAAAATGAAGCCTATCTGCTGGTGCATACCTTAACCTAGCACTCAGGAAGTTCAACCAGGGGGACCATGAGTTCAAATCCAGCCTGGCCACATATGTTTGGTTTTATTTCATTTGATGTATTTATTTACTTATGGCAGTGCTGAGGATTGAACCCAGGGCCTTATGAGTACTAGAGAGACACTCTACTGGCAATGTGGGCCATGCAGTGAGCTCTTGACTGATTAATAATACATAATAACAATAACAACAAAACCAACAACAGCTAAAATAAGGTAATTGGAGTAAAAAGGTAGCAGTGCAGACTCAGATTTGAAGGATCTTGCTCACATCGAAATGATAGAATGAATTTGGGTAGCTGTCTTCACAACAGTGATCGCTGCTTCAAAACCAAAACAAAAATATCAGACAGACAGGACAGCCGTGATGCCACTTTTAGTCCCAGCACTTGGGGGGCAGAGGCAGGTGGAGCTGTCTGAGTTGATGCCAGCCTGGTCTACACAGCAAGTCCAGGACAGCCAGGGCCACACAGAAAATCTCTGACTCAAAAAACAAAACAAAACAAAAATCTAACCATAGAAATACCTTTATCCTTTGGGGAAAAAAGGCGGAAACTGTACCAAGTCTTTAATTCATTTTGCTCCTGTGATCTAAGCCTAATTAAATTATGATTAAGTGCTCTGTATTAGTGAACATAATCATCTCTGGTTAAATCCAAATATTTAACATTTCATGAAAATCCCCTGGCACATTTCCATAATGATGGAAAGGTAGAAATTCTTAATTATCCCTTCAACTTTAGAGGAAGTAGTGGTGGAGACTTTAGGAAAACCCCAAGTGAATCATCTAAAATGCACAAAGCCAGGGAAGGCACCAGCCCATCCGATAAGTTGATCACTCACCAGAACTAAATTCATTTTTGTTATATGAATGCCAGTCATAGAAGTCCTTCCACAGAGTAGGTAAAGCTCTAAAGTCACTAGAAAGTGAACTCACTCTAGCTTCAGTAAATAAAGATAACTTCATATCAGCAAGACAACTGCCAGGTGACGCTGTTGCTTTAGCTACTTAAACCAACCAACCAATCAGGAATGGAAACATATGTAGAATAATTTCTACCTAAAAAAGGAAAGAAAACAAATACTTGTCACTCACATTAAATATCTTGTTAAGAAGACTAAGGTGGAGGTATCAGGTAGTCTGATTTATTAAGAGGTACTTCAGAAATTAAGAACCCTGGCTGCTCTCCCAAAGGTCCTGAGTTCAGTTCCTAGCACCCCCATGATGGCTCACAGCCATATGTAACTATAGTCAAATAGGACCCAATGTCCTCTTCTTGTGTACAGATGTCCATGCAGATAAAACACCTGTAGATGGAGATTGCTCGTCGTTTCCCAACCGCTCAGACCTGAATAACTACACAGGAACTGTATTAATTACAACACTGCTTGGCCAATGACTCAGGCATGTTCCTCGCTAACTCTTAAATCATAAATTAACCCATTTCTATTAATCTGTGTATCGGCACAAGTCTGTGGTTTACTGGTAAGGTTCTGGGTGTCTGTCTCCTTTGGTGGCTACATGGCATCTCCTTTACTCCTCCTACTTTCTCTCTATATCTCTGTTCAGATTTCCTGCCTGACTTTACTCTACCAAGCCATTGACTGAAACAGATTCTTTAATACCCAATGATAATAAAACATATTCATAGAATATAGAGGTATCCCACAAACACCTATATATACAAAATAAATAAATATATATTTTTCTTTTTGTTTATCAAGATTGGGTTTCTCTGTGTAGCCCTAGCTGTACTGAAACTCACTCTGTAGACTAGGTTGGCCTCAAACTCAGAGACCCAACTTGTTTAGGGTATGGGACATCACGTTCTGCTAACGTAAACAAAAGAAAAGAAAGTACAACTGGAAACCTAAATACTAGCATCTTTAAAAAGATAGAGGCACCATCTTGAATAGTACACTGTGAAGACATATAATTCAAGCCTGGAACAAGGATTCACAGTTCTCAGAAACTCGCTCTTCCTGCTCTGCAATTCCTAGACCATGACGTTCACTGCTAAGCATGCTCTCTCCATGCTCACAAAGCAGCTGTGTAGCTCTGAGCAGCTGCCGAAAAGAAATGGGACAGGAAATAGCGTCCCTGATACTGACGGTACCCTTTCTTCCCATCAATTGTCTTGAAGATCCTGACAACTTGTACTGGCATCTTTGGTTGTCTCTACAGGAACTTTTCCAGCCTTGACACTACCATTGGTAAAGGCCTTCTGGTTATAACTATTTACATTTATCGTAAGCCTGAAGGAAATGTGCTTTAGAAGTTTAATTTATAATCTCCACTAACAGCAAGGTCATGTTTATACAAAAAAGAATAGGAGGGAAGCATTAGTAACCATTTGGGGACTTGCTGGCCACATTTCAAACTGGCCCACATGATTCTATTTATGAGTCATGGAATTGAAAAACTACTGTGTTCTGTGTTTGTTTGTTTAGTTTAATTTAAAACATTTTAAAACAGGTGATACACACCTATAGTCCCAGAGTTTGGGAAGTATGGACAAGAGGGTCAGAAGCTCAAGGTCAGAAGCTCAACCTTGAGAATGCTCAATGACTTAGACAGTTTTAGGGCCAGTCTTAGGTGCATGAAGCCTTGGTCAAAATGAAGGGTGAGAGGTTCCTGGGTATAGTGGTTCCCTCCTGTAATCAGCACTTGGCAAGCTGAGACAGAAATGTGAGTTCCATTCCTACCTGCTCCCACCTCCAAAGGCAAAGGAAGATTCTGTATTAGCAAATTCTAAACATACAGGAAATGCTGAGGTTTTTGCGCCTAAGCCCTAATTCAGTTGTTCAGCAGTGGAACAGTCCATGTGGAAGAGCACACAGAATAACTTCCAGAACTGGAATTTTTGTGGTTATTAAAGGGCTGCATTAAGACAGGATTTATAGCCCCTCTGTATGCTGTGATTACCATTGGTTAATAAAGAAACTGTCTTGGGTCTATAGCAGAGCAAGACAGAACAGAGCTAGGTGGTGAAAACTAACCTGAATGCTTGGAGAAAAAAGGTAAGGTAAGGGAGAAGCCATGAAGCCACCACCAGAGACAGACATGCTGAAACGTTGCCAGTAAGCTACAGCCTCATGGTGATACACAGATGATGAATGGAAATTGGTTAAATTAAGATTTGAGGATTAACCAGAAATATGCTTAAGCCATTGGCCAAACAGTACAGCAAATAAAATAGTTTCTGTGTGGTTATTTCGGGGCTGAGCAACTGGGAACAAACAAGTGGCCGTACTACAACAACCGTATAGTTAGAGTAGGTACCAATTTTAAAAACATTTAAAAAACAAATTTCCTCAAGTAGTTATCATGAAAGACGATGTTGTCATTTTAAATCTCGATTCAGTAAAAGTCGTGATTCCTCTTAAAATTTGTGCATGTCGACTATCTGAACGGGACTTGGGAAACCCCAGGCTCATCTTTAGAATTGAGAGCTTTTGTCTGGAGAGCTGTGTGGTTTTCAGAGTGAGATACAGAGGTCATTGGGCATACAGAGGATGGTCTTGCTGTCCATGAGCCACTATCTCCTTAAACCTCAGACTCTAACCCCAAATGGTGTCAAGGAATAAGGAGCAAGTACAGGATCTTTTTTGTTAGTTTTGTTTTTTGAGGCAAAGATCCTTTGTGAATCCCTGGCTTCCCTGGAACTATTTCTGTAGAACAGGAGACATCAAACTCATAGAAATATGCCTGTCTCTGCCTCCCAAGTGCTAGGATTAAAGACGTGCGCCTCCACTGCCTGGCCTGGTACATGATCTTATGTATACATATTCACAGTAGATTTCCTGTCATTGCTTCGGCAAAGATGCTGGCCTGTGGTTGGTAAGACCACCCAATGGTTATGCGGAGCATCTTTTAGTGAAATTTTAAAAATCAAAATGAATAACTCAATTAAGTGTATACATGACACCACATAGAACTATTTAATGTTAGATGAATATATGCTGTCACTGAGGTACTTTCCTGTCGTTTGTGACAGGGATCTCTTTCTCCTCCTTTTTTCCTGTCTCTTCCTCCTCTTTTATCTTCTTTGAAACAAGGTCTCACATGCAAACCTGGCATATGCCTGGAACTTGCTACACAGGCTTGATCTTTCTGTCTCTGACTTCCTGCCAGGGTTCAAAAGCATTTGCCATCACACCCGACTCAGTCACTAAATTCTTTAACATTTCATGTGCAACATAGGAAGACTCTGAGCAAACTTGAAAAAAAATGTTGTATGTGAATGAGTGTTTCGTCTGCGCATAAGTGTGTGCACCATAGAGGCCAGAAGAGGAATTGGAACTGGAGTTACAGATGTTTGTGAGCCAACATGTGGGTGCTGGACCACTTTACCAAAGCGGGAGGGAACACTTAAGAGCCGAGCGTTCTTTCTAGTGCACCCGCTCTGAGCAAACTTTACTCTTCAGTCATTCACTGACTGAAAAGGAAGTAGGAATCTAAAGAAGCGGGCCAAGATTTCTGTACAGAAGGAGCACTCAGCCCGCCCTGTCCACAGGCACTGAACCTCAAGTGCTCCGTTTCCATTCCTGTCTTTCTGCCTCCAGCTCTAAAATCATGTTTACCTGAACTCCCTAAGCCGACTATCAGTTTTCCAAATCCTCGTTCCTCCTAGCAGGAATGAGGCCTGTACTCTTCTGGGTGGATTTGGAAGACTCATCACCTACTCTGCCTTCCCAACACTTTGTCAGTCCGCGAGATCCGGGTCCACACACCGCTTCTGGGAGGGGCAGTGCTAGCAACCTTCTGGCAGTTTATAATTAAGTTCAGTGTGTGGGGAATAGAAGGGGAGGGAAATAGCACATAATTACAGAGTTCTCTGTTGCTGAGTGCCTGCCGGCCTAAGTAGCAGAAGTTCGAGAAGCGGATAACGCTTTCCGCATTCTTAAACACAAAAGTCTCCCAGAAGTTCCAGGAGGAACCGGGGAACGAGGTGTGCCTGGGCCTCTTTCGCTTCATTGTCGCCATCCTCCAGCTGGCTGGGTTGGCCGGAAGGCCCAGGTGGAGGCGCGCGGCCAGTGTCCCCAGGCCCTTTGGGTCTGGGCCGCAGCCCCGGGGCGGGTTCCGAGGACCCGCTGCCAGCGCGCACGGAAGTGCGCTCGGCTTTCTCCTGTGGGAGGCCACCGTGAGCGCGACTTCCTTTTTCGGCGGGCGGCCCGGCCTCCCTGGCTCCTCCTCCCCTCCTCTCTCTACCCCCACTCCGAGCCCAAGCAGCTCCCGGCCTGAGGTACGACGCTCGCCTCGCCAGTACTCAGTGCCAGCCGCCGCGCTAGTGAGCGACCTAGCCGGAGTCCCGCGTCGCACACCGCGCCCCCTGGGTAGCCGCCCAGCTCAGCCTCCCGCCTCCAAGCCGCTCGGCCGCCCTTGACCGCAAGCGCACAGCACAACACAGCGCAACACAACACAGCACAGCACAGCACAGCAGTTTGGGCGCTCGCAGGCGGGCATCGGGACAGCCTTTGGGCTCCGCGCCCGAGCGATGGCTGCTCCCGGATGGCTGCTGTTGCGTCCTCGCCCCCGTGGCTTTCTGCTGCTTCTGCCCGGCCTCCTGTTGCCCCTCGCCGGCGCCTTCAACCTGGACGTCGAAAACCCCGCCGAGTACGCCGGCCCCGAGGGAAGTTACTTCGGGTTCGCCGTGGACTTCTTTGCGCCCAGCAAGTCCTCGTAAGTGGCCGCGCTTGTGTCCCCAGGCGCCCCCTCCCCCACCGCGTGCCCCCACCCAGCCTATCCGCACCCGGTCGTTGGCTCCACCAAACCGGCCTACCCACTCCATCCCGCGGCTGGCTCAGGTCCTGCAGGGATGAAACATTTGTGGGGATGACCTAGCCTGGCACTCACCATCCACTTTGACCCTGTCACCAACTTCGGATTGGCCAGGGACACTGGCTTTGAAGGAGCTGTTTAACATCTAGGAAAAGTTGGAAATCAGTACAGGCTGGTCCGGCGGGACTTTTGGCTTCTCTGTCATTCTGTGACTTAACTTCACTTGGTCCCAGAACTTCTTTTTCTCCCGGACCATTTAGCCTCTTCCTAGTGCTTTTTGCTCTCCGAAACCAGCCCTTCTCGTCTGATGGTCTGATTCTTTTCCTTTTCGTTCCTTGTCTAGACACTACGATGACTAAAGTGATCACATTGTCGCGTTAAATTGTAAAGGACTGTGCGACCTTTGCGTCTTTGAGGTCCACCAGATGAATGGAATGTGTCATCTGTTCCTTTTCTAGTCCACTATTTAGGTCATTGTTCAGAAAGAACCGGGGTGTTTGCCGAGTTTTCCCTCGCTGCAGGTCACTGAAGAATTCAGCAGTTCGTGTTCGCTTTCAAATTACCCTCGCCCTGTGTTGCAGCGTCCCTGAGAATTTGTAGCACTTATTGTCGCTTTTGGATTAAAAGCTGTCTCTGGCTCAGTTGGGCTGGCTGGCATCGTTCTTACCCCTGCGTGTCAGTGTTAGAAACACTGATTTAATGGATGTTTTATAATGTTGGTTACATGGTTTTTTGAAAGGAACTATTATTTCTTTGGTTGTCTCTCTGTGCTCACAAGTGGTAACAATGCATTATACACACAAACACACACACACACAATTTATTTTGATGGTCAGTACTTGGGTAGGACCATTTTCTTGATATATGCTTAATTGGAAGGTGGTCTAAATGTTTGTCTGTGGTTTATTAGGACGGTCTTTAGGATTATTGTCATCGTTTTCCTGCGTACCAGTCTTTAAAGCTACGCATACTTTGGGGGAAGCTGGCAAAAACTAGACCATTCAGCACACGGCCTTATTCGCACTGATATCCAGTGCTTTCTGAGAGACTTGAGGGCTCCAAAAACCATAAATGCACCAACTTCAGACAGCATTAACCACTTCGCTGTGATGTGATTGATCTCTTTGTGGGGGGTTGGAGTAGAGTTTGCATCTCTGAGCTACCACCCCTTCTCCCCCCAATCTAATCATTTTAATTAGTTCACCACTTGACATTTTCCCTTTCTGGGTATTTTTAAGTGTATGCCTTTTCTAGCATGGGCATTCTAGTTGCTCCCAGGGTACACCATTTAGATTTAATTCTACAGAAATTCTGACTTAAAATATATTCTCTGCCTTACATCAGGAATTAGCATTTAAATAATTCAGAGTTGATGGGATGTTGGACAAATGCTGTTAATTGTTTTGTTGTTATTAATATTATTGTTGCTTGCATCTGTTAATCTATGGCAGAAGTTTAGTGTCTAAGGCACACGGCAGGCTGGTAAGCTTTTAAATGTTCCTGCCATGGAGAACAGGGGTATTGAGCTGTTGGTGGTGTTTGGCATTACTGACCGCAAGGAATGTGGCATATCTTTGGAAAACCATATGGCCGAAGAACATGTTCTGAGCGTACACACTTTCATGACCTCATGTGTACATCACCTCATGCATGGGCCATAATAGTAAGATACTGTGGAACTGGAGAGATTGCAGGTTGTATTTTGAAACAGTCATAGAAACTTTGGTACCAAGAGACCAGAGCTCTGTCTAATGTAACTTAAAAAAATCAAAAGAAACTTTGAGGTATTGTCCCCTCCACCACCACAAATTATACCCAAATGAAGGTTTATAATTACTGCCTTTTTCAGATTAAATGACGATTATTACAAAATCATGCTTAATCTTAAAACAAAACAAGAAACAAACAATGTCATTTGATAGTGGCACATGCCCCAAATCCCAGGACTCTGGAGGCAGAAGCAAGAAGATCTCTAAGGTTGGGGCCAGCCTGGTCTATAGGGATGTCCAAAACAGCAAGGCAACACAGAGAAACCTGTCTCAAAAAAAAAAAAAAAAAAGAAAGGAAGAAAAGAAAAGAAAAAGAAAAAACCAAATAGACAAAATTATGCTTAGTCTTGGTAAAGGCACGCCTAAATGCAGAAGGCATTGGACTCCGCAGAGCTGTATTATCACTGTTTATATGTTTGCGTGGGGATGTTGGATCTCTTGGGATTTGAATTACAGACAGTTGTGAGTTGCCATGTGGGTGCTGGGAATTGAATGTGGGTCTTCCAGAAGAGCAGCCAGTGCTCCTAACTGCAGAGCCATCTCTCCAGCTCCTATCATAAGCTTTTAAAGGAAAACTATATAATTATTTGTTAATGAAAGAGGGTTTTTGATTTTGTTTTTCCTGTGTGAAAAGTAGTAGATTAGAGAGGAAAGTAGATTTTGTTTATTTATGATTATTCCTGTTTCAGGGCTCTAAATGCTGCTTGGTTTCACCTCTCATCTTTCTTACTATAGAAGATTATGACTGAGCTGTCTCCGTGTTGTTGTGGGAATGAATGCATCAATATTGATTGAAAAGAAGCACTAAGTAAAACTGCTAAGACGAAGCTGGGCCGTGTGGTTTGCCTCTGTAGTCTCAGCACTGGAGAGACCGGAGGATCAGGAGCTCAGGGCATGCCCCAGCTATGTACTGAGTTCCAGGCCTGCCTGGGGGAGGACATGATCCCTGCCTCAAAACACAGGAAAGGCCCTGGTTTCAAGTTCTTTTCTTCATTAGAAACAATGTTACCATAGCTTGCAGGTCATTTAGCCTAAATTCGTCTATGCTAACTCATTTTGTCTAAAAATGAATTATATTTGCATCAAGAGATGTCAGCTGCACCTCTATTTCTATTCGTGGAACCCACTTTTTCTCTGTCGCCCTGGAGACCCTTTCATATTCCTCCCCCTCGTTTTCTGTTTTACGTTGTCTCCTGCTCCACTCTGCTGAGATTAGTCACTGCTTAGTCACCAGGCGGAGGGGTTCCAATCTTTTCCTTGTTAATACTTCCTTGCTTCTATCTCTGCTCCCTGCTCCTGCTTCTTACTTGAGCCTGGGTCTGGGCCGCTAGAGCCTCTTTAATCTGCTATCCTTTGGCTGCTAGGTCTGCAAAAACGCCTTGTATGTTTCAACTGGCTTTATATTTCTGAAACATTGTTTTTGCTCTTGCTATTCTGTTGCTGATTTCTTTCAGCAGTGCTTCCATTGGCTGAGAAAATCCAGACCTAGGTTAAGACCTCCCCTGGCTACTGCTTTTTAAAAATCTCAGTGTTGTAGTCATTGTCCCGATATCTTAGGAAATGACTGAATGCAGTGTTACCTGAAATCCCAGCACTCAGTCTGGGGTAGGAGAGGTTTGTCACAAGTCTGAGACCAGCCTGAGCTATGTAGAGAGTTCTAGCCTAGCTAGCCTTAGCTACAGAGTGAGACCTGGTCTCACCGCCTCCTCCTGAAAAAGACTAAAGCTATTTTCAAAAACTTTCCTGTGACCGTTACTGTGTGGGCTAATGTTGTTCCATCATAAATAGTACACGTGCATACGCTGCAGTCTCTGTTATTTAGAAAACACATCTTAGGTCTATTACTTCTGATTCAGACCACAGATGTTTTGGGCAGATGTGGTGGCTCAGCCTTAATTCCCAGCTCTTGGGAGGCAGAGGCAGGCGTATATCTGTGAGTTCCTGGGAGAAATGTATGACATTTGGTGGTTAATGCTTCCGTTTTACTTTATAGGGTTGTTGACCTGAAGCGTTTGTTTGTTTGTAGAGCAAATCTGGAACTTGAATCACACCTCAACTGTCTTATACTCAGTTCTTTTTAGATATATAAGTAGTCTTTTTCTTTTTTCAGAAATTCCATTTGGTGGGGGCTCATTGGTCACCCTAAAGTTAGCTACATATATGAAACATACTTTATCTTGGAAAGGTTAGGGCTGAAAGCAGCCAAGTAGCTTAGTTCATCTGGAAAGTTTGAAAATGTGCTTGTCATTGCTTGGCCAGCTGCCCTGCTTGGTAGTCGGACTTCCATCCCGTGAAGTAAGTACCCTTCCTGCCTTGCCCTGGGGAGGAAGTGCCGTTAAGGGCATCCTCCTCCGACTGTCTTTCCTCATCTTTCCCTCCCCCATTAGCCCAGCGTTACCCTTCTTTTCCTGCTGCTTCTTAGCATCTTCCCCCTTCTTGGCATCGTATGAATCACACAGTCAGTTCTGGAGTCCTAAGGTGGCACTCCTGGAAATAAAACCAGTTATCTCAAAGCCCCGGCAAAGATGTGGCTCTTGATAATGTTATTGGACAATTTTTTTTTTGGGGGGGGAATGAGCCAGAATCTGTGAGGAGAAATTTGAATGTATATGGATATATGTTGCTTAACTTCAAAGTCTGCTTGCTCTTCAGTGAGGTCTTATGACCCCATGGCAACAGGCTGCCCACCTGTCCACTCTGCCAGGCAGTGCTGCGAGCCTCCTTTCCTGCCTTCGCTTTTCCTCTTTGGAGTTAATTACTTGAGCACCGATGGATCTTTGAGAACACTAGGAAAGAAAAGCTCCTTTGAAAGCGGATTTTCATTTTCACTTGCTATTTCATTAGGAAATCGCTTATTAATTATATCAGCTGCTGTTTGGAAGGCTAATGGCACCATCTTGTATTAGTCCTGAGCTTCCGACATTTTAAGTTTCCACTTATCCACTACCCACCTGGGAAATAATTTCTTTTAAGTAATGACAGAATGTTGTACCTCTGTTCCAGAGAGCAGAGATTTCAAGAGACTCCTCAAGTGACTAACCGTGCTTGCAGGCGTCCCCTCCTGTTTGCCCTGGGCGGTGCTGCAGCTGTGTCTGCCCTGCTGCTGCTCTTACTTGAGTTAGACTCTTGTAGACAATCAGCAGTCTTGGTGGGCGTTTCAGTAATATTACTTTCTTTTTGCAAAGTGTTTCATTGATCGAATTTAGGGTTTTTGTAGCATAAGTAACTTTTAATAGTTCTGGATTTTCTTTTTTCTTTCTTTCTTTCCTTTTCTATCTCTCTCTGTTTCGCTTTTTTACTTCTTTCTTTCTTTCTTTCTTTCTTTCTTTCTTTCTTTCTGGCAGGTTTCTCTGTGTAGCCCTGGCTCTCATCCTGGAACTCAGTCTATGGAACTCTATTCATGAGAATATATCTGTACCTTTACCTATGTATGTGTGTATGTGTGTATGTATGTATGTATGTATCTATCTATTTATCTATCTATCTATCTATCTATCTATCTATCTACCTATCTCCCTTTTAAGATTCTTTACTTTCTCCAAGTCTGTCTGTCTCTCTCAAATACTTAAGTATCAGTATTGCTTCAACATTAAGTGATGGTGCCACACCTTTAATCCCAGCACTCAGGAGGCAGAAGCA